CCGTGTGTTGCGTAGTCTGGCTTGCATTTGTTATGTACCTATAGAAGCCGTGCCTGTTATCTCTCATGTCCCTTACCAGATTTAATTCTAACTGGGCCTTAGCTTTCCTGACCTGATCCCTAGGTTCCCAGTGTCCCTGTATTTCTCCCAGGCTGCCTGTCCTCACTTTCACCTTCTATAAGATTCTTTTTTCCTTCTGAGTTTTCTCAGCAGCTTCTTAACCACCCATGGAGGCCTTCTGGCCTTCCTGCCAAATTTCCTTCTAGTCGGGACGCAACACTCCTGAGCTTGTAGCAAGAGATCTTTAAAAATCAACCAGCAGTCTTGGCCCCCCCTGCCCTCTAGGACTATATCCCATGGAACCTTACTAAGCAGGTTCCTGAAGAGGCCAAAATCTGCTCTCTTGAAGTCCAGGGCAGTGAGCTTGCTGCATGCTCTTCTCGCTGTCCTGAGGATCTCAAACTCGACCATCTCATGGTCACTACAGCCAAGGTTGCTCTGGAGCATCACATTTCCAGCCAGCCCCTCCCTGTTGGTGAGCATGAGGTCAAGCATGGCACCTCTCCTTGTTGGCTCCTCTATTACTTGCAAGAGGAAGTTGTCTTCCACACAATCGAGGAACCTCCTGGATTGCTTGTGCTGGAATAAAAGTGGTAATGCCTGGTTTGGTGTTGGCAATAGCCACCAGTATGATGTGGGTGTGATAAAAGACACCACTTTGTTTGCCCTTTCTTAGGATTGTATTTTCAGGAAAATTTTAATATCATTAAACCCTAATGAGACCTCAGCTATTCTGGTCTAGATGTCTGTATTTAAGAAAGATAATTTAACTGAATTGGGAGAAGGAGTGTTAGAAAGATAAAGAGAAAGGAGAGCTTGTTTTTGAGATGATATTAAGAAGGGCATAACCTATTTAGTTCAGCAAAGCAAAGGATAAAAGGTATGATTATACACATATCAAAGTATAAAATAGAAAAAATAAAATTTAAGCAAGAGAAGCGGTTTCTTAATTAGAGCCAGTGAAAGCTGCATCATCTGGAGCAGCCATAATGGAGGCAATAGGGCAAAATTTTTAACTGGATTTTTAAAGAATTTTAGAAGACGTCTATAATTTTATGGAAGGGGTTTATATTAAACAATGACAGAGACTAGGCACCATCTTCTGAAGTTTCAAAAAAATACGTAATAAAAGCTGAAACAAGAAAGCATAACTATTTTTTCATGAGAGTTACTGATTCTGATGTAGGTAGCATACAATTAATGTTGCTTTGCCCACTTTCTTGGAATTGTTGAATGCCTCTGTAGTTTATATTTCACTGCATAGTGTCTCTGCACAGAAAGGGCTATGTAGTTCCAAATGAAAGTGCCAAAATCATGCATTTAATTCTGGCTTTTAGTGAATTATTCTTGATTGGCTCTTTCAATAGTTAAGCTATATGACATGGTAGTATATTATTATATAGTGTACACACAAGTACATATATACATACACATATAAATATTTTGCAGAATTCCTCCTGCTGGCATTTATTCTATCAGTATACTTGCCTCCCTTTTTTTTATATATATAATTTTTTGGTGAAGGTTGCAGAGTTGTTCCAAAAGCTAATTTGCAGTCCTTTTGTTTTGTAATCTATTGAGGGAGCTCAAGCAGG